GAATCTACTTCCACGAAACAGCACAGAAAAAAAAAACCATTCATAATGGCCACCCTCGTGTCATGGAACTGTTGCGGTTTCCACCGAAATTTGCTTGACACCAAATCTATGATAAATGTGTATCATCCTGTGTGCTTAGCAATATAGGAAACAAATCTGAAACCAGAACAGCATGCAAAACTTCAAAGGTTTTCTTTCGTCAGGAAGGATAACCTTGCAGGTGAGCGTGCCTGTGGAGGTGTAGGTCTCCTCTCCTCACTGGATTATCCCTCAAATGTACTTTCCTTTGACGACATCCCTCCAAGTTGTCGCTACTCAAATAAATTTTGATATTGTTGTTTCATTTGTTTCTTTGTATTTGCCTCCAAATGAGCACATTTATCAGCAAGATTTAAATAATCTAATAGAGCAGCTGCCTGAGCCTTTTATCATAATAGGAGATTTTAACGGCCATAGTCCACTCTGGGGTAGTAAAGATACAAATTGCCGAGGAAGACAAATTGAGCAGATGATCGAAGATCATAGCCTTTGTCTCCTAAATAATGGGCAAGATACGTACTTCCATGAGCCTTCAAGGACATTCCACGCTCTCGATCTTGCCATCTGTTCACCATCTCTGTTGCCATTTTGCACTTTTAGTGTCGGAAATGACCTGTACAACAGCGATCATTATCCCTATTTTTGTGTCTCTTGCACGAAGAGGAGCAAACCCCATGTCGAGAGTCCCTCGTTTTATACTGGACAGGGCAGACTGGGAACTCTTCTCTTCCATTGCAGAGCTCACAGAGGAAATGGTAGAAGATGTGCATATCGATGACGCTGTTGAAGCTGTTACTAATACTATTATTCAGGCAGCTATGCTTTCGATTCCTAGAACATCAGGAAAAACTACTAAAATATTCGAAACCATGGTGGAATCGCGACTGTCATGAAGCACTGAAAAAACAGAAAAAAGCATGGGGTATTTTTCGTAGATATCCTACTCTGCGAAACCTCATAGCTTTTAAAAGAGCCAAAGCAAATGCACGGAAAAGTAAGAAGGCAGAGCCAGAGGGATTCCTGGATTTCATATGTGTCCTCAATAACATCCTCTACGCCTAGTAAGCGGGTTTGGGAAAGAGTTCGAAAAGCATGCGGAATGTATAAAGACCACTCACTTTCCTTTCTGGAAAAAGATGGCCGAGTGATTAGCTCCATAGAAGAAATTGCAAATACAATTGGTGAGACATTTGCTGCCGTTTCTTCCAGCCGAAATTACTCACCTGCATTTCTTTCTATCAAGCAACGCTCTGAGAAAAATCCCATCGCTTTCAACTCTTCCAACTTTGAGCCGTACAATAGAGACTTTACTATGGTTGAATTAAAGAGAGCTTTGTTGCAGACACATAGGTCTTGTCCGGGTCTGGATGGCGTGTATTATGAAATGCTAAAGCATCTGTCCTATAAGTCACTGAGTGCCCTTCTCACACACTTTACAATAGAGTGTGGAAGGAGCGTACATTTCCCAGTGCATGGAGGAGAGCTGTTGTCATTCCTATTGCGAAGCCAGGGAAAGACCCGAGGAATCCCTCGAACTATCGGCCAATTGCCCTTACCAGTTGTGTTTGCAAACTGTTTGAAAAGATGGTAAACAGCCGCCTAGTCTACTTCTTGGAAAAGAATGATATTATATCGCCTTATCAGAGTGGTTTTCGAAAGGGAAGAACAACCTGTAGATAACATGCTCCTCTTAGAGACATCTATTCGAAAAGCATTTGTAAGAAGAAGCCACCTTGTCTCGATATTCTTCGACATTGAAAAGCTTATGATAAGGCATGGAGATACGGTATACTCCGGGATCTTCACGAGAGTGGCTTGCGCGGCAACCTACCAATTTTCATTCAAAATTTCTTGAACACTAGAACTTTTCAAGTAAGGAATTGGCTCTGTTTTTTCGGATGTTTTTGAACAGGAAGAGGGTGTGCCTCAAGGCTGTGTGCTCAGTGTAACCCTGTTTAGTTTAAAAATAAATTCTGTACTAAAAGAACTTCCTCCCACCATCTTGGGATCTCTATATGTTGATGATCTGCAGATTAGCTGTCGAGGAGCAGACATGAGATATGTAGAGAGGCAACTGCAGATGGCTCTGAATAAGATCCAAGAATGGTCAGACAAACAGGGATTTACATTTTCGAAACAGAAAATTTCTGCGTGCACTTTTGTAGGAAGCGAGGTCTCCATCCTGAACCTGAGTTATACTTGAATGGTACAATTATTCCAGTTGCGCCTGAAGTAAAATTTTTAGGAGTGACGTTCGACCGAAAATTGACTTTCCTTTCTCATGTTTTAAACCTGAGAAAGAAGTGTCTAAAAACACTAAATATTTTAAAAGTGTTGGCGAACACCTCCTGGGGTGCAGAGCGTTGCTCCATGCTTCGCATTTACAGAGCGCTTATCCGCTCTAAACTGGACTATGGCTCAGTTGTTTATGGATCCGCTCGGCTCATCTGTTTTGTTAAAACTGGATCCTGTTCACCATCAAGGTCTGCGGATTTGTTCAGGAGCTTTCAGGACTTCTCCTGTGCAGAGCCTATATGTTGACTGTAACGAACCATCACTTTATCTGAGGCGTGAGCAATTGTCCCTTTTGCAATATTTTAATACTCTATCTCAACCTGAACATCCCAATAAGCTGTGCTTACTTGATAATGAGTGTAACACATTATTTGAAACACGTCCATCCTGTGTTCCTACTTTCCCTTTAAGAGTTCGCCCTGTCATTGAGGAACTTCTCCCTCTCTGATATGCACCCCCAAGCAGTACAGAATTTTGAAATTCCACCTTGGGAAAATTCACGGATTCCAGCTTCTTGATGTTTTTAAACATCACGTAAAGGCGAGCACTAACGAGATCGTTTACAGACAACTTTCGCTGAGCACAGGCACAAATATAGCAGTTATTATCCGATATACACAGATGGATCAAAGTCAAATGATCATGTCGGGATGGCTTTTGTATTTGAAAATTACATAGAGGGCAGATGCCTGCACCATGCTTTCTCTGTCCTAACATCTGAACTAACTGCAATATATTATGCTCTTTTGTACATCTCAAAGCTCTGCCACAAAAAGTTCATAGTTTACACAGACTCGTATAGTGCTCTTAAATCCTTGGAAGCTTTTCCCAACACTCAGAATCCTGTGGTAGTGGATGTTCTCAAAATTCATAGAAATTTAATGATACGAGGATATGAAATCCTGTACTGCTGGGTTCCCGGGCATACGGGAATAAAGGGAAATGAGCTTGCAGACATCGCAGCAAAATCTGCTGTTCGAACTGTCCAGTCGCCTTATCCCTTTTAGAGACATCTGCTGTGTCATCAAGGGAAAGATCCGAAAAAAATGGCAGCAAATTTGGGATGTTCAGCATCACAACAAGTTGAGAAACATCAAACCTAGAATTGAGCATTGGGATTTTGCTGGAAATCGTAAAGAGGACGTTCTTTTGACTCGCCTCAGAATTGGTCACACCAGAGTCACACATAAGCTATCTTCTTAAAGCTGAAAATGAGCCTGTTTGTTTTAATTGTAATGTTTGTTTATCTGTTCGTCATATTTTAATTGAGTGTCCATGTTTTAATAGTCTTCGCCAGAAATATTTTAATAGCTGTGACTTACCTCTCGACCGTTTAATCGGAAGAGAGGTCAATTCTAATTTATTTTATTATTTAAAAGAGATTGGCTTTTATTACCAAATGTAATTTGTTTTGAAGACTGTGTCTTGAATGTTAATATGTGCTTTTAACTTGTTTTTATATGACTTCATCCTCTGGATTTGGTACATTTATCTACTTGTTTTTTATTTATTGAATTTTAATGTCATCAATTGTAATCATCTCATCTTTTGTTTGGCGCGTCATAATCATCTCTGGTTTTTTTTTTTCATCATCACTCACTATCCCAGCGGCAGCGGAATAAGAAAGCTGCGGAAGTAATAAAACCGTCATACATATAATAAAACCTTTTCTTCAGAAATTCAGAATTCTCGCGCGCGATTAAAATCTATAAAGGAGAACTCTCGATTCGATGATTATTAGTTTGTTGTTTTTTTAAGAGTTTGTTTAGAAAACTGCTCTAGTTGACTGTAGCGAATTTGCGGATTAGCTTTTAGCTGTTTTGAATTAAGTTCTCTTGAGCGTTTGAGTAGTTAAAAGATAACTATTGTGAGATATTGTAATATTGCACGAATATCTGAAAAAATTGAAGCATTGTGTTTTATTTATTTATGAAAATAATAAATCTTATTCATTTTTCATCCGACTTGTGCATTCAATTCCAAACGAACCCGTACGCACGCAATAATATGTTCCGCAATCGTTTATTTTCGATTGTTTACTTTTTTTGAATTTTATGATAAATTTTTAATGGTAATCTTTTCTTTGTAACGGCCATTCTAGTCTAAATTTTCAGATTGCTGTGCTTTAATATTCTTAATTTATTTTTTAGTGGTACTTGTTAGCTATTTAAAGCTCATAGAATTCAAGCTGTTTTTTAAGCTCATTTTATTTTACATATTTTTTAAATTGCATTTCTTTTTGCAAGTACTCATGCATTTAAATTACAGTGTTGCCGAATTTGATTACAGGTATTTCTAAGTTTGTTTATAAAACACTAACTGTAGTATAAGTAACAATTTGGTTTATAATTAGTATTCACATTATTTCTACGACTTGATTTATTTTTGAATGGAAGGATAGGCAAAGGTAAATTTTTAAATTCATTTTTATGCAATATTAATCTGAAAAAAATGCCAGATGTAAGAAAGAGATATTCCAGTGTTTGCTTTATTAAAACGAGCGCATTTTTAAAAACTTTCCACAAAACGTGCTATCATATATGATTACATTCATATTAGTTCGTACAAAGGGAGATGAAGTGTTTGATATTAAAAGCGTTACCTTTATTCTGTTCTTCCTCTTGGACCAGTTTGTAGACTTCAGACATAGTGTTGATAGGCTTTTCGGGCTTCATGAAGTTGATGCTGTAAAAACAAACAAAAATATTAAATAAATTGAAGAAATTAGAATCGGTAATGGATTCAGACCCCAATGCATGAAACCAATGAAATATTCAGACCCCAGTAAACAACCCCGCATCCAAAATGTTGCTGTTTGTTTATTTAGTCTATTATGACAAAGCACACGAGAGTTAACCGTCTAAAGAAGAAGGTCTAAATGTCTTCAGATATTGAAATACGAGTATATTGCTGTCTGTTGTTTTAATATGTTATTTTAAGAGGTAAAGGAAGTGGGAAAAAGAAGCTATCAGATGTGAAGTATATTTTTGGAACATAAATCGTTAATAATGTCCACTATACTTCTGAGAATCACTCAGACCTACCATTGCTTTCACTTCCAATGCAGTAGCTCCCTAATGAATATCCTCAGGTCGAGGAAGCAGATCACATACATAGTTCCAATACTAGAACATATTGACAGACTCCACGTGACAGATTGCTGGAAATGCTCTGCGGTAATGTAGTTCATCAGACAACAACTTTCATTCAAGCATTCTTTCATTCAATCTTAAACAAGAGTTAAGAATCTCGCATTGTTTCAAGAATATTTCAAGTAATTTACTATTATATTTTATCTTTGGGAGGGGGATATGAATAAGAAATTCGCGATTTGAAAATTTAATTTTACAGTCTAATACAGTAAAGAAGAGTCAGTTAATAATTTTATTAATTTATCCGCTTACTTTATGTTAATAAAGCTGTAATAAATCATAAAATATTTTTATTTCTCTTCTTTCAAAAATTAATATCCGTGTTTGCTTGCAAAATCCCTACTCTTCAATAAATTTAGCAATCGATTCAAAATGAATTTCAATTTTGAAAGCTGTAGCATCTCCTTTGAAAACGTAAAGTGGAATAAATAGAAAAGTATTAAATTGTTATAATAAAGTGTTTTACCATTTTAATAGCAGTGAGCCAACAAATATAAAGTTAGAGATGCAATTATCTAGATTAACACATAATTTTATTTTGGGCAAAGATTATAGTGCACAGAAGAGGGAAAATTGGAAATTTTGGAATAAATGTACATGCTTATATCTTATATATATATATAAATTTTAATTTATTATATATATAATACCGAATTTGGTAAAAATGAAAAGATAATAACACAAACATTGCAGAAACGAGTGAATAAAATAACTGTAAAAACAATCAAATAGAGTAAAATGGAAAAGAATTTACATTTCCCAGCATATACAAGATAGTTATAATCACAGTTACCGTATTTAAATCTACGTAGAGGCCATTCTGGTATACCTATTTATTTCGCTGAAAGTTGTCTATTGTATAGGAAGAATAGGAATTTGTCTATTGTATAGGAAGAATAGGAATTTGTCTATTGTATAGGAAGAATAGGAATTTGTCTATTGTATAGGAAGAATAGGAATTTGTCTATTGTATAGATAGAATCTGCGATAAAAATGAATAGTTCAAATTTCGACCGACAGGTGGTGTTTTTCCTGCAATATAGGAAGGACGTTATGCGGATTTGGGGCGTTTTGAAAAACAAAATCATTCCTCACCATGCATTTAGAGAAGAAAGATCAAGCTTTATTGATAAAAGTAGTTTTATGAGAACGGTATTTTCAATTGCACTGCGAGTATATCAACTCTTGAAAGTCGAAAGAATATCGACGATTTCTTACAAAAAGGGTCTCTGTTGAGGCATGGTTTGAAAGGAATTATTTTTTAATTTCTAGACAGTTACGTGTACTAGGAGGAACAGGACGGAAGGGATTTCAAATAGAACTGTGGAAGAAGTCGCTATTGCCGCAGTCGAAAGTGCCTCCGGTTCCAATAATCTTCAATAAGCGCTTGGTGCAGTGTCGAGTGATTTGCCTTTCCCTTAGTCGACAATACGAAATGTTCTGCGATGCATTGTACAACAGCATCCATACAAGATCGAAGTTCTGCAAGAGGTATATCCTGTAGACCCGGACAAACGCTCTGATTTTGCTAGTCTTCTTTTGGCCAGAATAGCCGTTTACAATGCATGGCTTTAGAACATTTTGTGGGAAGAATCACATTTTATCCTAGACAGATAGTTAATACTCAAAATTGTCGCATATGGGTTATTTCAAATCTTAATATTGTGCATTGCATTATTGTATGATGTGTTTTTACTGCTGATTTCATTCTTGGTGCTTTTTCTTTGAGGAAAATACTCCTCAAGACCCTCAAAGGTATTCTATCACAACTTCCTGTTACTGCAAACATCTTCAACAGCATATCATTCCAGCTTCAAAAACAGTGATTCTTAGATAGGTTTTCATACAATGTGGTGCACCACCTCACATTCCCGGAACACTGAAGGCACTGCTTCGGATGATCCGGTAATTTTGAGTACCTGGCCCCTTCATTCTCAGGACTTGGATCTCTGTGAATTCTGGTTGAGGGAATTCCTGAAAGGTCGTATCTAATGGATAAAACATATGGACTATGCCTGAATTGAAAGTCGCGCAGTATGCTGCAAAATTAATTAAATGATGATTTAATAATCTTAGTTTGATTTAATTATTAACTCTAATTTGATTTTGATTTAATTATATATATACTAGAAAACCCGTCGGTCATACAAAATGACCGCTTTTCTAGATATTACGAATTGTAATTAAAATGATTTGTGCAAAGGTGTCTGCTAATTTAAACTGTATTAATTATTGTATGTAAACCCAGGGTATGTAATTATTGTATGTAAACCCAGGGTATGTAATTATTGTATGCAAACCCAGGGTATGTAATTATTTTATGTAAACCCAGGGTAGGCGGCGAGGAAGCCCCTTTGCTTATTGCCCCACGGGGTTTCCCCCTTCTACTTGCTTAATTGTTTAAAGTAGGGTGCAATGAAGGAAACCACTGGCGGTGCATTTCTTAAGAGCTACCTGTAACTCAATAAATAAAAGTGCTTTAAATAATAAAATGTTAATTTACAGGTCAAAGATCTCTTTGTACACAACATTTCTTGTGTAGATCTTTCCATCATTTCTAAGCTCGCCTTGCAGAGGACCATAAATTATTTTTTAATTTTACGTTAGTTTACCTTTAACTTAGAGTTTTTTCAAGAACTCTTGAACAGGAACAAGTCGACCGTGTCCAAATGCAGGCTCAGGTAAAAAAATGCCAACACGCTTAAGCGTTTGACCCTAAGACTTATTGATGGTCACAGCAAACGCAAGTTTTACAGGAAATTTTCCACGTCTCTATTGAAACGGCAACAACGCGCCGTGGCAACTTCACCCCATTGGCTAGTACACTTACGCAAGCAACCAATAAACTATCGGCGACAAGCAGACGCTTAAGCCGCATGGTGTGAACTAACAACATGGGGGGAAGTGACATCATCACCTCCAAAACGGCTGGCTCCTGGGCTTAGCGAAGCACACCGTTGGATTCCGCAGGTCTGCGGCACGCCATTTTGACCATTCGCGTCTTCTCTGGACTTTAAATAGCCGAGATATTAATTAAAAAACTAATTTTTCCCTACGTTTTCCAACATTTTCCACTTTCTTTCTTGGATTTTCCCTATTAAAGGAATTTGGCTACGTGTCAAAACCTTTTTTCTCTAATATCTACGGAACGGCCGAGTTGAATTTCGAGACGCGTATCCTCGGATTCCAAAAAATTCTGCGAATCGATCGATACCGTTCTCACCTTTGTACTCGACTTAAATCGGCCGAGATATCAATTAAAAACTGCGGAAACGTTAATTTCTGCGCTCATTTTTCCGAGTGGCAACAATAAAGTATCGGCGCACACACTTTAGCCACTTATATATATAAAGGTATGCGTTTTATATAAGATACGGTATTAGAAGCCTATCTCATTTATTTTTTTTCTTGCATAAAACAAGAGTTGTTTCAAAAGGTTGTTAAAATTCCAGATAATTACTTTCTAATGAATGATGCAGTTCCATGTTACACTGTAGAATAAATAAAAGATTTTATGCCTTTTTTTTTTTTTTTTTTTTTTTTTTTTTTTTTTTGGTAATAATGTGCTAACCTGATTCCGATCTTTGTTTGCTAAGGTCTTTTTTTTCGCTATATGAAAAGAATAACACTTCAAGAAATTTGAAATGAATACAATATTTTCATCTAAAAAACAGTTCCTTCGTACTAACGATGTAAACAAACTATGCAAATTAGATACATTATTAAAAATCGGTTATAGTTTTAAATCACGAATAAGAATACTTCGTGCTTTCCAAGTCACTCAGTTTCCTAAATATCTGCATTTTGTATAAAATGAAAGATCCTGTATCATGACGAATAATGAAATTCTGGAAATCGGGTTTTGTTCGGCTACGAAGAAGATAAACATCTCACGTCTCTCGCACTGCCCAAATTTACTAACTTGCAAATATTATAAATTTAATGCGGTGACACATTCAAACTACGTGTAAAATAGTATTAAATTATTACGAAGTAAAATCAGAGGATTTATGGTTTTTAACTACAGCTAATCGTAAAAAGTATTCTTACGCGCACTTGATCCGAACCAATTTTCGACGAAGTTTAAATCTCAGTGATGGAAAAGCATACTTCGAAGAGAGAATTTAAAATATCCTTATCTTTCTTTTTTCTTTTCCCCCTTTCAAATTTTCAGGGACTTATTGGAACGAAAATAATATATTTTTACCATAGGAAGAGGTCAGACAATATTGAACTTATAATGATAAATATTATAAGTTATTGAATATATAATAAAAAAATTAATAAAAAAGTTTTTCTATCATACGCCGTGAACACGAATAGTAAACCATAGCATTTGACGAAAGCTCAAAGTAAAATCATTGTGTTCTTTATTCGTTGCTGTCATTGATACCATTGACTGCTGCGATTAATCGGTTTCTTTTCGCTTCTTTCAGTTTTGGCTTCAAGCTGAAAGCCTAAAATGTATAAACCAAATCATTATACGAACATTGACAAAAAAGCGAATCTTGTTATTTATCAAAGAAGTTCCACTTATGAAGCTGTACCATAGAACTAACGCTCTCTTACGGCATAAAAAATATAGAAAATTTCACCAAAAACTGGAGTAACCGAATTAAGGATTAGGATAGGGAAATTACATACCAGCAAGCACCGCTCTATCATTCTGTAGCTTGCTCGCACCATTCATCTGACACTATTAATCTGTAAATTTAAATTTGTTTCATTAAAAGGTCTTCCTCTCTTCTTTTTGATAGGTTTGGATTATTTGATTTGGCTACCTTCCTAAGGGAAGGAAAGCCTTTGTAAAGGACCTTTCTTAAGGAAACTATCATGTGCCCACTTTATGCATGGGAAAAAACAATGAAAGATAGCCCTTTTGCTTGAATTCGAACTCCGGTCAAACTACCGGTGTTCAGCGACTCTGTGTTTTTTCTTAAACATATGAATTATGTTTCTGAATTCTTAAACGAAAAGAATTTCGAATATGTAAATGTAAATAAATTAAGTCATTTTGAATTAGCGTACTTGTTTGAGATATGCCAAGCCCAAATTTTGAAGATTCTACGAGATGAATATATCGAGCAGCTAGAAATCTGAAAATATAGTAATCTAGTGTCTTAGACGTGATTTTTCTTAGAAACTGTATGCTGCTGCTAAAAAGGATAGCAGAACTACTTAGAAAAAAATTAAGACTGTAAAGAGAACAACACAAAACTATACCGAAACATTTTGATGTGGAATTTTCCTACGCATTTATCGTGTTTGAAGCCCCATTGTGCGGAGCTAATCTGTTATATCAGAAGAAAGATGCTTGATGCGAAATTCACCATATGTAGCTAAAAACTTTTCTCACTTGAAAATATGTGATATTCACACCATGTGAAAGATAAAGTGCATGTTGCGGTTGACTCACCCCATAACTCCCGGCGCAATCATCTCTGAATGAGCGGACAGGGTCTGGGCAATTACGTTCATGGAAAATGTTTCCATTCTCCCTGTCTCTCCCGCTACTGAAGCCAGTTTAGCTCTCCTGCAAGAGAAAAGACGCAAGTATGTTAAGAAATGACCAAGAAATCTAGACGTATACAGAATGTTACATATCATGGAACATTTAAAATTACAGAGGATAAAAATCTGACATGGCCAGTACATGACCTCCAGGAGAATTCCCTGTTTCAAATAGCAAGAAACTTTAAGTAAAATCTTACTTCCGGTTATAACAAAACCTAATATATTGTAATAAATAGAAAGGTTTGTTATACGAAATTCTGGTTTACATTTTATTAGGTATAATTCGTCATGTGTAAAAACTGCGTTTTCTAAATGTATACCAACATAATCAAATGCTTTCCTAATTATTTATTTTTATTGAATTGTATTTTATGGGGCATGTGAAAAACATCTAATAATTGAATTTTAATTAAACAAAAGTAGTTCTCAATAATATCAGTAAAACAAATATTTTGAAACGAATACCATAATTTATTTTCATCTATGTTACTTCTGTAGTATCAATAAATCTAAATTTATTTTGATGTGCCCATATATATCTGTGATATTTCGGTATCAGTAAACAGTACTGTTAATTTTTTGGATTTACAGCTTAATACTGCGTTCCGGGATCAGTAAGAAGCAAAGCAATTGGTGTTTGACAATGTGCAATTTGTTCTTGTGCCTCGTCGTCATCATCAATATAAGAGAAAAACAAGTGTTTTAAAGTTACAATTGCTTTAAAGTTCTGAAATAAAGCGTTATTATAAAATCTTGCTCTTCGCTCTTCTGTGACTTGATATAAATAAATATCGTGTGTGGATATAATAGAAATATCCTTTATATGTGACTATAGTGGTTCTATATTTTTCCACAAAATTCTTTTAATCATTCCATGTAAAATATCACGTCCGCTTTATCATATGCAGTCAGAATCTAATATGTTGTTCTCCATCATGATTGTATATGCAAATACGAGTTTTCAGTGCAAAATTTAAATAATTTTAATAAATAGTATTGGATTTTATCATAACTTCAATATATCATTATCGTATATTGGATTATAACATTCCCCCCCCCCACGAAAATCTATTAAGAGTTTCAAGTAAACTATCACTTCCGGTTTACCAATTTTAGCCCAAATCTAGTATGTTATTCTTGTTAATATAAAATAACTTTAAGGTAACAATTGATAAGTCATTTTTTATATTTTAATGTAGGTTTTCTTTAAAAACTGTTATGGGGCTGAAGTAAAGTACCACTTCAAATTGCTCAGCTTCACTCAAAATCTAATAAACTTTTTATATGAATTCAGAAAATTCAAATACGGAAAACAGAAATTTTTGAATGTTTGATATAAGACTTATAAGGTATTTATCCCTGCCTTCTTAGCATGCTTTCATGGTGTAATGATGAGCGCACTCGGCGCGTATTCGAGAGGTCCCAGGTTCGAGTTCCGGCGAGGACATTGCTCATTTTTCACTTCTGCAGCTTCAAAAAATAGCCTAATGTCTCTACAGCGGTGCCCGAACTTAAAACCGTGGTGGATCATGACTCTCCACCACCAGGATTTGGCGATTGCGTCTTCTAATCCCCAATCGCCCTATAAAAGGAGGAGTATGTAAGGTTTTTCTCCCACCTTCTTAGCATGGTTTCGTGGTGTAATGGTCAGCCCACTCTGCGCGTATTCTAGAGGTCTCAGGTTCGACTCCTGGCGAGGGCAGTGATCATTTTTACCTTCTCCAGTTTCAAAAAATAACCTAATGTCTTTACAGAGTCACTGTGGACGAATTATAAAACTTGTAAAAACGTGTTGTGGGGATTCTGCAATAAACCGTGCTTGTTGAGTGACTATAAGTAAGAAATATTTGGACCGGAAATTTATCTTCCTTAGCTATGCGTGTAAGGCTTGCGGAAGATAAAGATGCAAGCGCATGAATAAAAATAACCTTTAAAAGCAAGTGCAGATGAACTATAAAGTGAATCGGAAGTCTTGGAGGTGGAAATAAGCATCAAAATTTAAATCACTCATTTCGAAATGAGCGCAAGTCTAAAATAATTATTTGAGAAAATAATAATCAAGCAAGTAAAATAGTTTTCTTCTCTGATATTTGGCGAATTATGTAAAACTGAAACCAGGACTATTATGTTCTTAACTACTCACCTTATTCTACGATACATTTTATTCTACTACAATGAGCGAAAACTAACTGTAGTACTTTCTAGTGGGCAAGCTGAGAGTTTTAGTATATTGCATCATTCTTATGTCAAGCATTAATCGAATATGATAATACTTCTTAAACAGTAGACTTAGAATCAGATAATATAATAGCCCTTTCGATAGGGTTTCTTCTCAGAAAACGTTAAGGCCATATAAATTGCCTCAACTAGGGCATCAAAATGAAGAGTATATCTGCCAATAGTTTTATAAAAAGGAAAAAGGTTGCAGTGAACATTAGAACCAGCCCAGTATGATCTATCAAAAGGGAACCATCAGTATAAATATGAAGCCACTTACCAGTTACCCATATTCAGACATTTCGAATGTCAGAATTTGAAGCTCGTGATTATCCATTATACTCTTAAACATAATACTGCACAGATCAAGATGTGTCTTAATATCTGAAAAGTTAAAAGATTAGGTAATATTTCAAATCTGATAGGTAAATTCAATTCTTTGGAAAAAGAAAACCCTGTTGGGCAAAACCTTTTTGACTGTTTTAACTTATGCGTTCCGATACATCATAATAATCCCTCCAAAAGTTGTATGCGGGGCCTTAAAGAGTCTTCATAAAAATATAATAACACTTTCATAAATCTCATTCTTCATTGGTAGAATATTTATGCGTAGCACATACAGGCATTTTTTACAGCTCTGGTTATTAAAAGGAGATCCTAATTCTGAGTAATATTATATTTAAGTGCTTCATATTGCTCTCTTTAGCTGAAACAAGAATTCCAGTACATACGCGAAAATTCGCTTAGTATACAGTACGTGACAACACTGCCGCAGCCACCCTACAGCCCCGACCTGGCTCCAAGTGACTTTTTCCTCTTTCCCCGAACCAAGACAGGCCTAAAAGGGAAGCGATTCGACTCCATCGACGCCATCCAGCAGGCTTCGACGAGAGCCCTTGACAGCATGACGCCCGAGGCCTTCCAGAAGGGCACGAACAGTGGAAGACGCGCTGGCAGCGCTGTGTTGATGCTGAAGGATCATATTTTGAAGAATTTTAGTCCGCTTTACTTAAATGTTCAATAAATTTCTAGTTCTGAGGTAAGTCTTGAAACTTTTGAATCACACCCTGTACATCTGATAAGTTGTTTCAAGAGTTCTGCTATTGCAGCACCATTTCTTTATAGTTAATTGTTTCAAAACAGAAACTCTCTCAAACTTAGCTCGAAATTTTTCTGCTTGGTATTTCTGTGTTACTGTATTAGTTAGTGTTTCTGTGTTAGTATATCGTATTCTGTATTTTGTGGTTTGATATTTCTATGTTTTATCAACATGGTCCTGAATGAACGCATGCAGTCTCTTCTGAGAGGGCAATATGGTCTTCTGAGAAGAGACTTTAAAGCTGCTGTTCAAGCAGTATTATCATATTCGGTTAATGGAGTGATGCAATGTGCTTAAATTTTCAACTTGTAGAAGAATTTAGGATTAAAATTACATCTGATATGCAGCACATTACTACCACTGTATTCCGCATTTCCTTAAAAGGCATTAGCTTCAAGACTTACTCACTTAAAGGCAAAAGGCTGATTTATAGTTTTATTTTTCTCATATGACTGATTCAAATAATACTTAGTTTATACTGAGACATTTTTAGGCATTTACCTATTGTCATATCATTCACAAATAAAGCCACTATGATTCCGCTTTCATTCTAAATAACAGTTTGAAGGTCACTGACATAAAAGTAAAATAGTAGAGGACTAAACACAGTTCCTTAAGGCAGGACAATATTTGTCTGTCTAAATTGGATCCTTTATTTAACGGAGGTTTAGCTTTGGTAGAAAAAGTCTTCATCTGTTTAGGGTGCCAGGTCATGGATCTTCTCATGTTGTATTCTGGGCGAGGCTGAATTTAGTGCAATTTCTGCTGCTCCTTGTATTTATTTATCATTAAGGCCATTGGGTATTACAGTCTATAATCGTATTTCTGAAGTTTCTAAAAATTCTCAAAGTCATAAGACGAATAAAAGTCACAATGTGGTGTTTCCGAAATGACTACTAGAAGTATCACGCGTGCCTTAAAGGCTTTCATTTATCTGCTTTAAAAATGCTTTTAATTAGCTGTTATGATATTCTTACCCGCATGCGATTAAAATGAGCGTAAAGCCGTTATAAAATACTATTTTAATTCAAAACTGCCAAACAAAATTGAAGTTAATAGAATGTGATCATTTTTATGTTATTTCTATGCTATCGCATAAGTTGCTTATCAAAGTTGATGTCGCTGTACAACTCTTGTATCGCGCACTCGATTTTAAGTTTAGATATGTACGACCAAAACTTTTGTCACATCTGGAAAAAAAAAAAAAAAAAAAAAAAAAAACTTTCCCACTTTTCTAACACCGTGTATCTCAACAAGTTTCTTTTAAAAAAATTTTGTTTTATGTATTTTAATCCATTGAAAGGGTAAGAAAATCGCTGCCTCTGAACCCTGAAAAATAACAAAAAAGTTATTCCTTCTAAACAGTATAGCAAGGAAATAGTTGACCGTTATTTCAAGGTTTTCGGATATATCAGACGGTGTAAGATTATAATTTAATTCATTAAACACCTCCAAGGTAACAACTGCTGAGAACATTACTGTTTTGAATAAGAAATTCGGTGTCCAGGAAAATTATTGGTGGCTTTATTGGCGATGTGAAATATTCATTTCAAGTCTTGTGCGTTCGTTTCGAGTTTCACTGAGAGCGCTTACTATTGTATATTATTATTCCAGTTACGCGTTATTCTGCACTGGCACATCATGATATGCAAGAATATGTAACGAAAATCCCTAAACCCTCTCTTCAATATTAAATAAACTAT